AGGAGTGGCATTCAGGGTCTTTAATGAGGTATCTGACTCCCAGATGGAATATAAAATATGTGAGGGACTGAGTTTTTACTTCTCCCTGCCCAGCTTGGGGCATGTGGCCATCTGAGATGTCACCCAGCCAGAAAGCCAGCTCTATTGCAAACCCATAGTACAGATATGACATGTCCCAAGCCTTACTCTGGACCACCTTTGTCTTGTCCCTAGGGTCACCACCTGAGCAGGCCAGGCAAGAACATCATGGCAGGGCCACACACATTCCAAGCAGGTCTCGATCACAGGAGTCGGATGCCCACGCTATACACCACCGCAGGTCTCAAGTCCTGGCTGAGCATGTTGTACCAGCTAATGAGCCTGCTACCCGGGCCCTGGCTGCACAGCCCCGGCTGAAGGGGCAGGAGAAGCAGTTCCTCAGGTCTCCCAAGGGTCCAGGAAAACCTCTTGGGGCACCAAGCAGCAGCAAGCCAGGGAAAGCGGTCAGCTATTGCCTGCAGGCTGTGCCACTGCCCCAGGGTGCTCAGGATGGCCACCATCTTCCTCAGCCCCCACCACAGCCTCCGCCACAGCCCTATGGTCACAAGCGGTACCGGCAGAAAGCCAGAGAAGGCCACTCACCACTTAAAGGGCATGGCCAGCCTACCATGGTGGAACACGAAGTGGTACGGGACCTGCCTCCCATGCTGGGGCCCGAGGGCTACATGGTGCCTGTGGTCCAGAGGCATGAACACCATCATCACCATGAGCACCACCACCATCACCACCACCACCACTTCCACCCATCCTAGCACCCAAACAAGCACTCTGCCCAAATGCCCTTGGGGACACAGCAGGTGCTGGCATGTGCCCAGTAAAGAGTACAGCATCCCCTGGCCCAACACCAGCTACAGATGTCAAGTGGGTACCAGGGAGATGGCACTAGGCTGGATATTTGTGGACTAAGCTACCTTTCTCTATGCCACTTGGATACCAGTACATTTGATGCAACAGATGATTACCAGTAATGCATGTTCCTGTTTGATCCACAAAGCCCGTACATGAGGGCACAAAAGCATCTGTTCCCGATTTTTACTGCAGGGTGGCCGTGGGATGTTTGAGGGACTGTCCCTGGACATTTTTTGTATCCTCATGGTTCTTTGACCTTTGGGTACCTGAATGAGAAAGGCAATGCTTTTTGTGACGTTTATACGTTGTAAAATCAGCGGGCTGGGCTCGGAAAGTGGTTCTTCTTCAGTGTACCATGTTAAACAAGGCAGAACAAAGAGGCCAGAGTATCAGCAAATGTGGAGGGGGCACGGTTGAGCAGAGGGGCAGGGTGATGTTCAGTGGGCAGCTTGAGGCTTGGTGTCCAGAGCTTCTAGCATCCTAGGTAGATGTGAATAAGACCCAGACAGGTTAGGATGAGATGGATCAGGTACTATGCTGAAGGTCTCCATCCAGGCTGTACATAGCCAAGTGACACTTAGGTGTCCCTCCATAAAGTCTGCAAAGGTATGGGGGGCCTCAACCAGACATGATCTTCGTGGTTCTACCAACAGGACACAGCAAGGGGAACTTTTTACCTCTTGTGAGTTTGTGCAGGTAGCATTATGCCTTCTTGGCATAATAAAAGACTGTGCATTCTGTAACATGGAATACATACCCTTGTATTAAAACACTTTTCTGAGAGCTGTGGTCAGTCTACCGACACATCGTAGCTGTAGGTGAAGATGACAGGTACTTGTGGAGGGAGAGTGCTGTAGAACCATCACGGCTTCTGCTGGTTCACAAACATGACTCCGTAATAGTACTTCTTACTAAGGGATTTTTAGACTAAGAAAAATCAGAACTCTAAACCTGGAGCTCATCTCATGTTCACAAGGAACACCAAGCCCTATATGGGCTCTGTGGGCTACGGCTTATGCAGACTGTTGAGAAGTAACACAACTTTGAGCTTATCCCCCCTCTCCCTAAAACCCTTTTCCTATTCTAAGTAATTCCTGAAGACCTAAATATGATGTCTGTGACCTGGGAATCATCAGCCCTTTGTAGGCTGTTGCTGATCATTTCACAGCTAGAAATGCTCCTGAATACCAAAATGACTACAGTGTGCCACCCTTTCCTTACATGACTGAAGTACCCATGTCATGGATACTGTGAGGTTCCACCTCCCACACCACAGCAGAGGGACTGCACAGGAATGCATGGCTACCCAGTTTGCTTCTCAGTATGCAGCATTCTTATGCTGGGCTCGTGTTAAGAGGTCCTTTCAGGAGGTTGAAGAGATGGCTCAGCAGTTAAGAGCACTGGCTGCTCTTTCAGAGGACCTGGGCTCAATTTCCAGCACCCACATGGTGGTTCACACCTGCCCATAACCAGCTTCAGGGCCTCCGACACCCTCACACAGACATACATGTAGATAAGACATCAATGAACATAAGCTAAAAATTAAAGAAAAAAAGTCAGAGACATCATACAGGATATCCCTAATGACACCTCGGACCATGGTTCGGCTGAGCAACATGGGAAGTGGAGAGATTCAACTAAGTCTGAGTCCTGGTTTCACGTTTGAAAATTTCAGTGCAGGTAGAAGCCCTAACAAGCTCATGGCAGGGGCCGAGCATCTGCCCCTGTGTGAGTGTTAAGCAGAGGTGTGTGCAGCACTCCAGCCAGCTGAGGGACCAAGCAAGCCTCAGACAGCAGGGTACTCAGTGCCATGTATGAGGCCTAAAGAGATGGGAACACACTTGTGTGTGAACTAAATGAGAAACAAACCAGACCATTCAGTTGGGTGTGGCAGTGCTTCTGGGAGGCTAAATCAAGAGCTACAATCCAGGACCAGGGTGGACTATCTAGTGACACTCCCTCCCCCTGCCCCCAAATTGCTTGTGTTCTCTATCACTTAGCCACTCTGGTCACTAGTGTCTGAGAACAGCAGATCTGCTGAGGTGCAGGAACTTGGCCTGGGTAGACTCAGAGATTCCAGGACTGCCTAGTAGTAAAACTGCAATGTTGCAAGTGGAGACAGAGGTAAGAAAGCCACAGGTGGTGATGCGTAGTCCACCCTGTGCTGGGTGCCAGGATGGTGTCTCTGTGGCAGTTGGTAGTACCTGGCAACATTAGAGGATGGCTTGTTGTGAGGAAAACAAACAACCTTGGCTGAGTATGCGGAGGTTGTGGCTACTGTGTGTTCTTAGAACTGAACAACCTGATCTATGTACATTCCCAAATAAAAACCGTCAAGGGAACGAAGGGGTTGCCAAGATGTCCCGTTCTCAGCAGGTACCCCATCGCTTTCAGGGTGAATCTTTTGACTCCAGTTTCTATTTAACCTCTCAAGTGTGATCTGGAATCCTGCTGCCTTGAGCAGGCCATGTCCTCTGTTCACACATGGAGGTCTCCTAGCAAATTCAGGCAAGTGTAGGGTCCTTGTTCTTCTAAACCTTTAGGATAACTCTGTCTCTTCAAGGCTCATAGACACAATGCTCCTGCCTGCTACAAAGGCCAGTTCTGAGAGTAGAAGGCAGTCTCTGCCATCCTCGGTTGGCTTTAGAACCAATGAGGAGTCTGTGTCTTTGACATCCATTAGAGCATCTCCACGTGAACTAACACAGCTCAGGCCTATGCTGGGCAGCTCCTCAAAGGTATCTGCTGTCTGGCCCATGTTCTACTCTAGGTGACAGAGCACGCCCTTCCATTCTGTCTCTCACCTGCAAGAAGACCACCCTGCTGTTCCCTTGGGCCTGTTCACAGCTGCATGTTTTTGTGACCTTTGATAAAGTGACCTGTGTGCGGTTCTCCAGCCCTGGGGTTCCTCGATACAGTGGTTATCATCATGGATGTGATTGTCAGTGAACCAAGTCCATCCTCAGGATTCTGAGGTGGTGCCCTCTCTGTTCCTAGTGTCCTAAGCAGAAGGTATCAGTCACTGACAGACATCTGTGGTTCCTCAGCTCTGGAAACTGCACCAAGGCGTTTCTCCCAAAGGCAAACAGTCCCATCTGTAAGGTGTAGCAGGCTACAAAGACTACACTGCCTGCCTAAGCTTCATACTTCCCATAGAACCTGTTGTGGGACTCTGGATAATACCTGAGCTCTTCTCTGTGTCTGTCTGTTCCCCCATGACAACCCCCATTCCTGAGCTAATCTTTGCCGTGAATGCCAGGTCTATGGGCTCTAAGCCAGGCATGAGAACTCTGGTCTACAGTAGGGCCAAAGGACAGCTTCTCTTCCAGGTCATTCCCAAAGCCAATACACGGCTATACTGAGTCCTTACTGTGTCCATGGTATTCATGGCTCACCACTGATAGGGTGACTACACCACACATCGGTCATTAGCATGTCAAGCTTCTACATCAGAACATCCTCCAAAAAGCAGCTCTGTGCTCCCTTGGCAGTCTTTCCTGAACTATCCTCCTTCCTTGAACTACAGACGAACAGTTTCCTTCGATTTGCTTCTTCTAGGACACATGAGTAGACTCCCATACTATGGGAACAGTGTCAGCTTCTCTAAGTCAGGTTTATGCATGCTGCCACGGGTCAAGAGTCCTGTTTCTACAGTCAAACACTGCTCTACTGCAGAATGTCTGGGTATAGAAGACACCATGATGTAGGGAGTAGGTTTGTGGGTGGGGATATGTCCTGGGCCACAAAGATAATCCTACTTAACAACTGTAGGGACTCCAATGCCATTCCCCATGGCTGCAGTTCTATATTCCAGTGACTCAACACCTCCTACCCATTCCCCATTTTCTAGATTACAGATTTCTAGATTGCACTGTAGTGATTCCGGGGTTCCCATCCTTAGAAAGTTCTGAGTTGAGTCTAACAAGCTGGCATAAGAGTTCTAATATTTTTGTAGAGCTTTTCCACTGCTTCCACCCATGACCTTGAGTGTCCTGGGCCGTCAATCCCCCTGGGTGGTCAGTCTTGAAGTGGGCCTCTGAGAAGCTCTGGGAAGGAATGAGTAAGTACATCTTCTCCCACCACTGAATTCTATGGAAATGAGACACACAAAGTTCCTTAAACATTTATATTTCATAGAATTTTACTCTTCTACTAACAAAGTCATACAAAGACAAAAGCCTATAAAAAAGGAAAAACATGAAACTGATCTGAACCGCCACAGTTACCAGGAACACGGAGTTTGCAACAGAAAGGGAGCCCAGAGACTCTTGACAGGCAGCTCTTGTAAGCAGTGACCCAGAAAGGCCAGCTGCCCAGGGCATTCCTAACAGCTGGGAGAGACGCCCCATCTGCTCTGCTCTAGACACTGAGGGCTGAGGAGCCTGAGCCAAGTTCAGAGCTGAGTCAAAAGCAGGTGTGGAAATCACAATGCTAACGGAAACACATACTGGACAGCAGCTACTCTGGCAAGCTTACCTCTGGCTGCTTAACAAAGTCTGAGGAACTTGTGCAGGTGCAAACTTGGCCTCTACCCTAACTGGAACATCGTGAATGTGGACGGAGCTGTTTCTCTCGGAGAAAGCCAGAGAAGCCCACAGGCTGGCACCACGGGCCATCCACACAGAGGGTATCTCTCTCAAGCTTCCCCAGGGAGGGTTAAATAAATAAATATGCAATATAGAATGTGAGGAACGCATCACTGCTGTCACCTGCAGTCTGTGAACAAACCATGACCTACAGAGCAGAATGTCCAAGGGTAAAGTGCAAATCATTTGTCAGGTTCTTGAAAAGTGCAGAGGTGCCTATGGGCCCAGCTGAGTAAGGCTCTATGGCAGGAGACAAGACTCAGCCAGAAAGACCCAGGGCTGTGGCTGCTGATGCTGAGAGTGTTGGGCTGGGCCTGGTTTTTCTCTCCAGGAGGGTGAGGGAAGGGACGGCATGTCATGTGCAAAGCTGAGACCCATCATGGTTCGCACTCCAGAAGGTGCCTGCTGTCATGGGCTATGTGCAGAATTCTCAGTGTTCCTGCCGTTTGTTTGTTACACTGTGGCTCTCTGTAGTCACCTGCTTGAGGTTCCCAGCTCAGTGCTTATGAAATAAAAGTGGCTGAGTTCCCATGAGAAGAGAAATCAGGCTAGCTGCAGATAGTCCTGCAGAGCAAAGGTTCTCTCTGCAGGAGCTCCTAGGGCATCAACTCAAATGGGAACACAGCTGGCAGGTACCACCAGCGCAAATAATGACCCACTCCTACCCTGTAAACATGATCTCACTTTCCAGTGGTACCCTGAGCCAAGTCTGAGGAGTGTGGGGAGGGGGTGAGGAGGTGAGGATGGACAGTCCTCGGTGTGCTTACTATACAGAAAGCACAGCAAGGATACTCAAAGGGACAAAGAAGCCAACGGGGAACAGCTCAGTGACATTCCAGCCCCAAGTAACTGTGCTTGTTCACGTGTTCTGGTTCATCTGTCAGGTTCGTGAAGAGTACAGAGGCGCCTCTGTACTTTTCTCTGTACACAGTAGAAGTAAAATGTAACTGCCACAAAATGCTGGACAGTCATCTGTAGGAAGGTGATCCTAATGTCTGGAGGTGAGGCCCTGCCAGTAGTAGGAAGAGCTGCCCCAGATCACCTGGGTATACCTACCATGGCCCACAACAACATCAAGGAGCCATTCCTGTCAGAACAGCTGTAGATACTCCCCCCATGTAGCATCTTCTGCTCGGAGAAAGCCTAGTGGGTGTCAATGTCTGTGGGAAGCCATGTGTGTCAGGGTGACCAGAATCACTGCAACGTCTTGGTAGGCCAGGCAACAAGTGCCAGGGCAGTGGCCATCAGTCAGTGGCATGCTGGTGAACCCCAGCGTGGCCACAGGCAGCTTGCACAGTCCTGACCCCATCCAGGTGTGTCCAGGTTGCAGTTGTTAGGAGTAGATGGTGATGACTTCCCGGCCGCCACCCCTGACCAGGAGGACCCTGTTCAGCCCTTCGGTCAAGACCTCAAGAAACTCCATGTCTGGATTGATAGTTAAGGCCATACCAATCTCAACTGGCCATATCAGGGACCCCAGTTCTTATTACAGACTCAGTCTGAGAAACCAAAGGCCTGTGGCAGACAGACAGATCCCAAGAGGCTAGGAATGGGACCATAAAAGAACAGAAATGAAGCTACCACCTCCAGTCGGCGGAGATATCCCTGGAGCCTCCAGTTATTAACCCCATTTTCTTGAAACCAATAGGCAACTGGGTCACAGGAACCCTGGTGGTTCGGTGGTCTCTGACCAGGAAACAAGGAAACATCTCCTTCATTTGCCATTCTAAGGTCCCGAGTGGCTGTCCAACCAGGCCCCAGAGATGTCTTGACATTAGCAAAGCACAAACTGTCAAAGCTGTGGCCAACAGCCTGAACTGTGAAACGGAAAAGAAGGCCATCTGTCCTGCTTGAACTGCCACTGGGGGAGCCTAAGCTCAAAGCATCCTGAGAGGATACTGCATCTAGGCAGGGAGACAGACTCAGCACTATTCCAGTGACAGCTCTGTGTGTGGCAGGGAGCCACTGAGACCAAGAGTGGGCAGGTACATTCAGGAGAGCAAAGGCTCAGTTCTTCCTGTGAGGGGTTGTTCTACTCAGGCAGGCTTAGGGTCACACTGCACTTGCTAAGCATCTAGAGGACCCAGTCTGTGTCCCAATGTATACTGCTCTGCATCAAGGCTTGTCACTCAGGGACACACATGTGGATTTAGCACTGCCTTGGTCAGGTATCAAGCAAATCAAAGGGATATCCTGGGATGGAGTTATAGAGTGCTTACTAGCATACTCAAGGCCCTGTGTTTGATCCCAGCATTGTAAGGAAAGGCCCATCACGGATCCTCAGGAACTCAAATCCAGTGTCATTCCTTCAAATGCTAGGAAAGATCTGACTCCTCAGCCCTCCCCAGTCTGCTCAGACTCCACGGCACTTGCCTACCTCTGTACCAAGATCCCCCAAGGTCCCCAGGGTAACGCACAATACACAACAGGTAGAAAAACATGTTTTGGCACTGATGGGCCTAGGTGGACCTCTCACTGTACCACATATCCCTGCCTGCCTTGACACCCCCCACCCCCATCTTCCCCAACTCACAAGAGTTGAGGCTCTGTAAACAAGAGGACTCAGGCCTGACAGTGTCAGAGTTGTACTACTGTTCACCACCACCACTAGGAAACATTAGAAAAGGATACAGTTCTCGTCCCCCTGGCGATTTTTTGGGGGGCCTGGCATATTCAGTAGGACCAGTTGGGCATCTTGGGACTTGTTGAGAACTACACCATTGAGCTTCACAGCTGTATGCATCCTCCTGACGTTGGACTGGTCCCTGGGGAGAAGGGTGGTAGAATGGGCACAGTGGGCTTGAGGCCTGTAGTCTGCCTGGCCCTCCCATTGTGTTCATGGGAAGGGCAAGGCTCAGCAGATTACCTGAGGATGGGGTGTGGGGTGACTTAGCAGCAGAAAGCATTTGGCTCTAGACACTTTAGAGCAGAGCATCACTAAACTGCTAAGCTTCTAGGGACCATAAAGTAATGCAGGTAAACTACAACACATTCAATAAGCTGTATTTGCAAAGCAACCATTGGTACAGGCGCAAACAGGATATGAGGGCCAGTAGCTGTCTGGGCAGGCATGAGAACTGGCCTGTGTCTTAGGGCACTGGTACAACTGCTGAATCCCTGTCATCTTCCTGACATGCCTGGTGCTGCCAAGTAGCCTATCTGTTGAACTGAGTACACAGTACTTAGGTATAGATGGAACTAGGTACTCAAGAAGAGAGCTCTAGAGAGTCCTCTAACAGGTCAATGCCATCCTGGTGCTGTCAGCTTGTGTGTGGAAGCTGGGATTCAGCAGAGAACTAGGTCTGGGCTCAGGCAACCCTCTTTCCTACAGGGTCAAACTGTGACAAAGTAACAAGCGCCTCTGGCACTATATGGTTCAGATTCATGTTTCTAGCCTCTGAAGTGAGCAGAACATCACTGAGTTCTCACACATGTCCTACTGTTATAGGGGGCCCTGTCCCAGGTAGCAGGGACCACAGCCACATAAGTGTGAGGATGTCACAGGTGTATATTCACTAACACATAAGCACTCAGGTGCCTGTAGGGCAGAGGTCAGCCTTCTCATCTACCAAACATCCCCTCTCTAGAGAATAGAGCCAGTGTTTAGAAAACTACCTTTGGAAATTTTGCCACAGAGCACTACCTGTCCCAATAAATTTGTATTTCTATTAGTACTGGGACATCTGGAGCATCCTTGGGCTCAGGACACAGGGCAGAATTTTTGGATAGCCTGTTAATTTCCCCCATACAGTCTTGATTGCAGCTCTTCTGAGTAGAGGCATCTGTGCCTCAGAGAGAGGGACTGGCAGATGAAGCTGCCATTGAGGGTCACAGAGAGGTCCTGAGATGCCCCATAATCACACCCACTGATCAACTCAACTCTGAGCCAAATATAACAGCTTGTAACTGCCATTCTCCAGGAAGAAAACAGTCATGGGCCCTTTATCTTCTCTCTTCAGTTTAATTTGATAAAATTATAGGTGAGTCTCTGTGGCACCAGTCAGGCCTTTCATTACAGGAACCCTGAATTCAGTCCATGGAAAGGGCACAATTACTGTGTGTTTGGCCCAACAGCAGTTCTCAAACAGCATGAAATGCAAGAGCCTGGGGGTGGGAACGTACAGCAGTCACATGGAACCCGAGTTCTGGGTTTGGCCTGTAATTCATGCCACTGTGGCATGCCCTGTTGAAGCTAGAAAAACTCCAGAGGAGCCAAGGAAAGTCCCTTGAGTTCTGAAAGCTAACTCAATCCCGCCTCTGTTCCTTGGAAACCAACAGAGTTAATCAGTAAAATGTCTCGTACAAGATGAACTCTACACAGTGTCTACACCTGGGAGTGTAAGTCTACACAGCAGTCTTGGAAGCAGGACGTGAAGTCACATGTCCTTGGCTGGCTGTCAGAAGAACTGCCCAAGACCATCCAAAGTAGAAAATACATGCATGTAAATGTCTACAAATGCTAACGGTGCATACCAACACACACATGCAGGTAGGTACACTGGTGTGTACACAATACAAACGTACTCAAACCAGCACACATGCTCATCTGATAATACATGCATGAGCTTTAACATGGTGCATACATGTACTAGCCAGTTTACATGTTTTCTAACTGGTACACACATGCACTCTAACCAACACACATCCACAGACATATATACTCCAGGGAGGTTGTGAAAGGAAACACATCTCTGGCTAGGCTAACCAAGAAATAGCCCTGAACCCTAGAACTTCTTCCTGACCCTGTCTAATCCTGTGTCCTGACAGATAAGTATCCCATCAACAGTCCCCATGAATGTATCCAGGAATATGTATGTTATGTACAGACACATGTGTTCATCTACATGTGTACAAATGGTATCGGTCAAACTCTGTTACGATGCCTTTCTGATTATGTGTTTTAATAAACTATAGGAGGGAGGGGGCTTTTAGATTTGCAGACAGCAGGAAGCCTGGGGTGCTCTCAGCTTTCCCAGTTGTCCAAGCTTCTCAAGGTTTCCTCAGTGTCTGAGTAATTCAGCTACAGTCATGTGACCACCTAACTATAACTAGCACCTTGCAGATTACCTGCCTGTTAGGGACAATGGCACAGAATGACTGGAGGGAGACAGGACAGGGACAATGCAGATGAAAGGACCACAGTAGCATCTCCAGGTAACCTCAGCATATGTCCTCCCAGAATGCTCTGACCCATGGGCTTGCAGATAGACCCTCAGATTCTGCATCCCAGCCTATACTCTTGGCCCTGACATCCAGACCCCATAGGTCTGACTATATAGAATCGATCCACAACCCCTTCTCACTGGAGAGGAAAAGATGGCAACCTCATGGATGGATGGAGAGCCGAGGAATCGATTTTATATTGACTGAGTAGACCTTGAGGGATGTGGGTGAACTTGCTCATTGATGCAGGAAGCACACACCCGCCCTGTCTCAGAGCAGCTCAGAATCAGCTCTCCCACACTGTCTTTGGTGTCACTTAAGAGAATGATATCTGGGTATGTGCCCTGAGCCACTCTGAGTGGAGGCAGTAAGGTCAGCAGGATGTTCTACACACACAGGGCTGTACACACACAGGCATGCAAGGCAACTCAGTCTAAGGCAGTCTAAAAAATGAAAGTGCACTTACAGGTTTCCCCACTCTCTACATGGAAGAGAGAACACAAAGAGCAGGTTACTTCAGCAGAGAACTCCACGCGATTCAACCAATTCAAGTACTGGTGGTGGCCATGCTAAGTGGTAAAACGGCTTGCCTTGGCCCTTCAATGGGTTCCCACTCCACAGGACCCTAAAACCTTCTTTCACTCCCTAGGAACTTAGAGCTTTAGGATAATCCCGCCGTAAAGACCCAGTCAAAGGCCCTCTTTTGCGCTTGAAGGCTGTGTCAAGAAGACTTAACCGAATCAGTCATGATGGCATCCCCACAGCCCTGTGACAGCCACAAGGACCTCAGTCTTGGGATTCTTAAGTCAGCCAAGATGACAGAACCCCAAAAGTCTGTGACAGCAGCCTAGACTATGAGGGTGGGGTCTAGGAAGTCATCAGTAGCATCTCCAGGCAACCTCAGCATATGTCCTCCCAGAATGCTCCTGCCTGTGGGCTTACAGATAGAGGACCCTCAGACTCTGCATCCCAGCCTATAACTCCTGGCCCTGACATCCAGACCCCATAGGTCTGACTATATAGAATCCATCCACAATTCTTTCTCATTGAAGCAGAAAGGATGGTAGCTGTCTCCATGCCACGAGGATCTCCCCTGTTTCTTGTCCTACCAGACAGACTCTTGGTTTCCCTTCCCCTGCCTCTTACTACCTCACTTTCCTGCCTTGAAAGAAAAAAAAATGGACCCAGAACCCTGTTGCGCTGATAGCTTAATCCTCTAGTGACCTGGCTCACTGGCACTGACAGCATAGCCTTGGGCTGGTCCCAGTTCTCTGCAGGCCTGTGGGCCAGTGGGCTGTCCTCCAAAACTCCTTAGAGGGTGGGGCTGGAAGTCCATCCTCACTATGCATTGGCCCAGGCCACATTGACACTCACGGCTTTAGGCTGAAGAGGTCTTTGAAGCCTGACGTGCCGGTGTCCTTGGTCCTGTGTTTCTCTGCAATGAGTTTCTCTTTTGTCCACGTCATCTGGACTTTGTCTGGTGTTAGTGGGGCTGGGGTTCTAGCGGTTGCTGTGGTATGGGATGCAGTGTTCCTGTCATGAATCAGCTGGGCCTGGTGAGGGAAGAGCAGGTCAGAACAGAGTGGCTCTTGAAACCCACCTTCGGGAGAATGTTCCCAATGAGGCAAGCAGGCTGCAGAATGAACCAAGGATTCGTGTGCAACTGGCTCAGACTCCACAACTAGCAGACAGCAACTCCACAAAGGGCTCTGGCACTGTCCCCATCCTACAAGGATCTCCCCTATTTCTTGTACTACCAGATGGGGGTTCCCTCTACTGCCTCTTCTTGTCCAGAACTCTGTTGAACTATCAGAACACTGGAGCCACAGTCTCTTTACTTGGTGTAGCCCCTGACCTCTCTCTCTGTCATCAACCCTGACCAGGACACACCATGGTGCACCTCTCTGGCAGTTTCTATCTCAGGGAAGGGCTTGCTTCAACAACCTCTCTGGCTGCCAGGCTCACAGGGGCTTTAAAGGGTCATAAGTGGGTGGTGCCTTGGTAGCCCTGGGAAGGTAAACATGGGGAGTCCCTACCTCCAGTAGCTTAGGCACTGAGGGAACAAAATGAATGTTTAAAGATCTGAGACCAACCTGCATCCTAGGTCAAGGGTCAAAAGTCTGAACAGACCTTCCTCTAGTCTGGGCTACAAGAGTCATCACTGATGCTCTGAATCTGAGATGTCAACAACCAAGGACTGAATGGAATGTGGTATCTGTCTCATAGAGCCACAGATAAGCTCAGAGAGAAGGACCTCTGGAGCCCCACTGAGGACAAAAGACTCTAGGAGGCCTTGCTCCAGTAAGAACATCCACCCACAAGAAGGCTAAGTGGGACAGCATGCAGCTGAAGACACAGAAATCTCCACACAGAAGCCCCTCATAACTAGGACTCATTAATGTCGCCGCATAACAAATTGGTATCCCAAGAGGAGCTAACAGCAAGTGGTAGCCACATGCTGTCTTCATACTTGACAATGTAAGTGAGCCAGTGAATGATGAGGGCACATAAGGGCACATGCCCTGTGTGGGATCCAGACAAGTGAGTCTGGCTGAGTGAGGACCTGCCACCTGCTTAACCTGCACAGCCTCAGCCTGCGTGGGTAAGGGCTTACTGCCTACTCACCTGCAGAGCTCCAGCCAAGATGGGTCAAAATCTATCAGGGGATGCTACTCAGTACTGTCTGTATAGCAGGGGTTAGCAGGGGTCTCCAGGATGGACACTGAGGTAAGGCTCAGCCTTGACTTCCTCAGGTGGTGGCATGGGTCACCTCAGCTATATATGAACTTCATAGTCCCTTAGTGTCCTTACCTCCAACATGACCCTAACTTTCCCACAGCTTCCACAGGGAAGAATAACCTGTTGGTCACCTACCATAGAAGCAGTATAGTCTAGCAGTGCAACTGAAAGTCTCCACCCACCCTGTTGACTAGCTCCAAACAAACTAGTGGCCTCTGTCCCATGTGGAAGCACATCTCTGCTGAAGTCAGACTCTTGAATGTCATCCCGTACCCCAAACCCTTCTTTATCTGAGTTTAGTAATTCTCCAGGTTAAGGTTGCCACTTATCTACTATAGGTTCTTTGTCTTGGCTAAGGCCAGAACAAACTGGCTTGCACTAGGACTCCCTGCAGCCCAAAGGGACAGTGAGAAACAAAGCCATAGAGTCTTTCCAGACATGTTGAAGCCAGCTGCCAGGCATCTATGCTAATGGTCTCTGTCCACAGACATGGAGGGCATCCTATCTGGATCCTAGGTCTTCTATCTCCTATGCCCCCCGACTCACCTAGAAACCCAGGGCAATCACTACTCTGATTCTCCCTGTTAGTCATGTGACCTATGTGCTGACCATAGCCAATTCTCATGAACAACAAGGTTATAAGAGGCAGAGGGTTCTTCTGCCTCTGTGACCACAGTGTGGTATCACTGATTCCATAGAGAATCATTTCTTCCACCCAGTTGGCCATTGCACAATCACATGTAAGAGTCTGGAGTCTGAGCAACCAAAGACCTGAGGGCACAGTCTCAGGGTAGATGTCACGTTATCCACCATCTGTGTCTTTCCTAGGTATGAAGTGACCGCAAAGATGCCAGCCCTCAGAGTCATGCTGTACCAATGGGCACAGGTGGCCATGTAGGAACTGTGTGAATCCAGAGCCATTGGTTGCTAGGCTGCTCTGTGCTCCCCTCGACACAGATCCTGTGTTTGGGGCCAGATGGCGCTGACTCCTCCTACTTTCTCCCCAGTGCACACACCTCTCTCTCCCGCTCATTCTTTGACAATTGCATCTGTTTCAGCATCTGTGACCTCTGCTCCATCATTAGCGTCTTCTCATAGGTGAATGCGGAAATGTCATTTTCAACCTAAAAAGCATCAAGCCACAGAAGTAAACAATGTATACAAAACATGGTGTTACCGCCAACCACCACCTACCCAACCCGCTTTGTCAAGTGGACATGAGAAAGCAGTGGCCATGTACTCCGGGCCTAGATTTCTATCCCTGAAGTGTCAGAGCTCTATCCCAGAACAGCCTGGAAAGGCGTGAGAATGTGTGACAATGGATGCAAATGTGTGGTCTGCAATAACAGGTGGACAAATACAACAGCCTACCTACGTTCCTGCTGGGGACTCTGTAATATTACCATACAGTCAATGATGATGCTGAATTTCACACTGACTAAGCACAGAGCTGTTCAGAGTTTGGACAGGGCATTCCTGGTTTGTCTGAAGGAGCTGTGATCTCAAGGGACACATACTTCTAAATAACTGGTGTCATTTCCTGTCTCAGACAGGCTCACTCTTCACAAGAGTTATTAAATCCATATGGAAACGATAACAAAGGACAACAGCAGTTAAGCACTACTGATCTAATGATCCTGACTGGTGGCACTCAGAATAGCCCTGACTATTATACCCAAACACCTAAAACCTTACGCGCTGAGTAGCCCCTTGTCAGTTGACCATGTCCCCAGGTTAGGGACAGAGGTCTGTATTCTAGTAGGAACTCAGAGGGAGGTTAGCTCTAGAAGCCAAGCCCCTAGGGTAAGACTGAAGCTGAGTGCTTAGGCAGCTCAGGCATTGTATATTATAGACACTGGCCCAGGCCAGTGGACTGCTGGTCTCCATGCCTAGCCTGGACTGACCTTGTCTCCCTCCAGGAATCCTTTCTGGGCAGCCTCTGTTACTTAGTCAAAAAGGTAGTTTCTGACTACTAATAATGCAGACAGACCTAAGAGTGCCACCTATAGAGGAGGTTACAAACAGAAGCCACAGAGAGTGAGTCTGCAACTCCAAATATCTGAGAAATGTCCAAATGTGGATATGCATTTCTGAACAGCACACCTACCCAAAACTCTCAGAGAGGTTTCAGAGTCTCAAAGTCTTACACAAAGCTCCTACAGAGGAAGAAAACACAGTCCCACACTACGAGGTTCCCTGGGAGCTGACAAGAAAATGCAAGAGGTCGTCAATAATGCAGAGAGATGCCAGACCTCATCCATGATTAAAGAGACACAGGCAGAGACAAGCAGTTTGCAAGCTCCAGCTAAGAAGTGCCTCTACAACCCTGGAGCTGAGAGTCCTCCATGTGACATAGTGGGAGGTCCCTTTACTTAATGCGGCACTCCACATGGCCATGGAAAAGAAATGGGCCCTTCTGGGACACCCTTTACCAAACATAATCCCTCCGTGAGACTGTAGAAAAGCAGGCCTCTCTGGGACTATTTCTACCAAATGTGACTCCCTGACAGTTCTACTCCAGGGACTGAGCTGCACAGCCATGCACAGACTGTGCAGGGTGATCATGTATGGGTGTCATCCATGATCAGGTGATGGAGGAATAAGCCATATAGACCACGTAAGTGAGAACATGGCATTCAGAGAAAGCAGGAGGCAGTAAGGAGCAAAGGATACACAGTTAATCCATTTGGGGCTGTTTAGTCCATAGGCACAATCTTAAGTCCTCAGGGACAGCTGGAATGAGCATCTCAGAATCAACCTCACTCCTTAGTCATTCAGACACAGTAAACCGCCTCTACTGTAACCCAGTCACTTTATTCTACCTGTTAGCCCCAGCATGACTTCACTCATGCCCCTAAAGACCCGCACAGATAGGCAGATAATTTCTAGAAGAGGAACTATGAAGTCATGGATAAAAACAGAGCCCCAAGCACCCACATCTGCATTGGTCAATTGCTGGCTGAACCTCCCAAGGAACAGTCACATCAAGTTCCTGTCAGCAAGAGCCTCTTGACTGAGCTCAGGGACCCTGGTGGGCGAGCTGGTGGAAGGACTGGAGGAGCTAAGGGAGACTGTAACCCCATAGGAAGAACAACATCAGCTGGCCGGACCATCCAGTGCTCCCAGGGACTAGACCACCAACCGAGGAGTGTACAGGGTGGGATCCATGGCTCGAGATACATATATAGCAGAAGATGGCCTTGTCCGACATCAATGGAAGGGGAGGCCCTTGGTCCTGTGGAAGTTTGATGCCCTGGTGCAGGGGGGTGTTGGAGGGGTGGGCCAGGAGAGTGTGAGTGGGTGGGGGAGCACCTTCATAGAGGCAAAGGGGAGGGAGGAGAAGGAAGTTGTGGGATGGGTAACCAGGAAGTGGGATATCATTTGAAATGTAAATGAATGGAATAATTAATAATAATAATAATAATAATAATAGTAATAATAAAAACAGAGCCCCAGGCTTCAGACCTCTGGGCTGACCTCACCCCCAGGGACTACACCCCATAGGCCTTCTCCACCAGAGCTGCTGTCAACTGAGACATGCTCAGACAGGATAGGGACAGTAAGACTATACAAGTATTACCCTAAGGAACATGTCAGGATGTACTATCTCTGAGTCCAGAAGTGTAGCATGACATCCAGGTCTGTCTGTCTGTCTGTCCACCCCACCCCTACCCCCAGCACACAGCTGTGCACATACCATCTCCACCACCTCCACCTCGGCACTGATCCTGAGGTGGTACAGGAACATCTGCAGGTCCTTCTTCATCTGGATGCTGTTATCATCCACCTGGGCTACAGTGAAGATGCGCATCCGGCACTTTCTCCACACCTGGGGAAGAGGGGAACATTTCTGCAGGAATTCAGGCAAGGCCACACCCTCCACACAGTGGTAGCCCTGTAGCCAAGTGTTAGCCTATGGCCCTATACCAGACACCTTGTGTTGGCGCAGCAGGAAGGGCAGAAGCATGAGCATGCCCCCATCGTGCACGATCCACCACACGTCAATGTTCCCATCGCTGAAGCGCTCTTGGTTCTGTGGGAACAAGTCGATGTTCTTGGCCACCAACAATGCCTGATGTGCTGCTGTCGTGTCACGGACAGTGTCTGTGGAAAGAGGTATCCATAGGTAAGTTACCAAAAGGGCCAGCTGGACCTTGGGATCTCATGGGGGGCAAACAGGGAGCTAGCTTCCCTCCAGGCAGTGGGGAGACTGTCACAGGCTAAGTAGGCAGGGTCCCATGAAGTCATCTACCCAGGGGGTCATCAAAGAACAACTTTCCATACCAGAGCTACTCCATGATCTCCAGAAGACTGTGTGTCACATTCTAGGAAAACCCCCAAATGGGGATTGGGCTTGGACATTAGGGGAGAAAGTATTCAAGAATGTAAAGCTACCATTTGCTTTCCCAGTAACTAACAACTTGGCCAACATATTCAAAGGTCCCAAGTCTATATTTTCTGGCCATACACTTAGTGTGTCAGTAACATTTGGGACTATCATGGAACCTGGGAGGAGAATGGTTACCACACCCACCCACAAAGTTCTTCCAGGAGAAAGGGTTATCTGACTGCTTCCAAGCTTCTGGCCAGGCCATGAGGACAGTGTTGTGTTTCATGCCACCAAGGCCAGCTGACTGGATCAGGTGGGATGCACCATCTCGCAGGTTGGAGGACACCACCAGTTGGCAGAAGCCTTTCGTCTTCTCTGCACTCATCAGAGACCGGATATTCTGCAGAAGTTGTGGAGGTGGGTGTTATTACATGATACCAAGACACATGTCAGGGGCATCTTGTCCTTCATCCTTACAGTGAGGCAGCCCCACACATATTCCATAGCCTGATATTTAGGGATGGAAACTCGGGAGTTGCTGGCCATGTGTGTCTGTACACATGTGTAAGAAGAGACAAAGTGAATCTGACGCCTTGAGGCATAGCCATGTGCAGGTGTCTAGGAAGGTCACCACCAGGGTACACCAGATAGTGCCTTAACATGATCTCTGACTTTACCGACCATCCCTTATTATTTGGATTTGGGGTGGGGTCATATCAGACAATAAGCATCAAATGTTCATGGGTCATGCTTCATGGGTGGACTTTAACAGCCTTTGAGCAAATGGAGGGCTCCAACTAGAGCTATCAGACAAGTCACAATGTCAGCCTCCACACCTGTCCACTTCCATCATTCCATCACTATGTCAGAAATCTACCAGGATCTATCTAGCAACCCCTGCCTCTCTAGAGCAGCTTAGGGACAATGGAGAGGTTGGACACTATGACTCAGGACACACCATTCACTAGTCAACAGCCCCAGAGATGATGTCCTTCTATGGTAAGCAGGCTACTAGGTCTTGTTGGGTGCAGGGTGTTCAATGGTACCTAGAGGAGCACCCCTAGTAGATTTCACACTTATGTGGACAGTGACCCTCATGCCTTTGCACTCTCCCTTTTAGAAAAGGAGGACCGCATCACTGTCAGGCAAATGTTTTTCCATATCAGAGAGGAGTCCCTCTTGGTGTAGTCTGTGATAAGATTCAGACTTATTGATGCTCAAGACTTTGGAGGCTGTAATGCAATGAATGTGGTTTGGATGGGAGGTAGATGTGCTTGGGGAATGAAGACTATTGAGAGACTGAATGGTGTTCCCAAGAGAGGTTCATTTTGACCGTGTTAGAGCCAAAATGGGAAAACATGACCTTATTTGGAAATAAGTATCATTGCAGAGGAATCCTAACTGTTCAATGGGACCCTGAACCCAGTAACAAGTAGCTCTGAGAAGACGGACAGGCAGACAGATTTGAGAAGGAAGGCATCCATATGGAGACAGGCTAAGCCTAGGAATGCCTGGAGCCCCCAAAGCCAGAAGAGACAGGAAGTGATTTGAGCCCACCCTGCCCATACCTCAAATTTAGACTTCACCCAGTCTGGGTTTTCTCTACGGGTCACAAGACATACTTTTCCCCCTCCTTTGCCTTCTATGTTGGCCCCACAATGACACTGCCCTGCACGACATCCCTACAACTAAAGCTGTACTGACAATACACATGGTTCCCAGCCATCCTCTCTCACCTCCTCCCTTACTGTATGTCCACCTTCACCAACCACCAGCCATCTAGGGTAGACCAGGCTCACAGGAACGTTCCACTTATAGAATTCTGCGTAATTCAGAAACAATCTAAACACACTGTCCTAAAAGGGGAACATGCCAGTGAGTGAGAGGCAGTCCAGGCGGGAGGTGTGGTCACAGGGACACAGCTGCTCCCAGGCAGGAAGGACAGTGACCATGATGGGGGTTTCATAGGAGAAGTACTAGAGAGGCTGACTCAGCTCGATGGCATGTGACAGGGCTACTCTGTCCTCCTAAGGACTGAAGCTGGCTAAAGGTCACAGCACAGAGAACACTACAGAGACCGTACAGGGTACCTACACACCCCTGCCCTGGCTTTGTGATGCCCGTGTCCCTGACACTGGCTGCAACATTACTTTCCCCATGCTAGACCCAAGGAACTGGAACTGGATCTTAGTCCTTGCCTTACTGCTAGAGAATCTCCTGCCCAGCCTAAAGCTTTAGCGGCCAGAGCCCTGACCAGGCAGGCATCTGGCCCAGAGAAGAAGTTGGCACATCTGCCAAAGCCACTGTGGCCAGGGAAACCTCACAGAAGAGGAAGATAGGATCCTTAGTTAGGGAAGGATAGGGTGACTCAAACCCTCAAGCCCTCTCATGCAAATGCTGCAGTGGAGGGAGAGTAATATTAATCCTGATATGTTAAGGAAATGCCAATAACAAGTTTCTTATACAAGCTTTGATCATTTAAAATGGCTTTCCCAAACTGTCTTCATTTAATACTATTAAGGATAGTCTAACTAAAGGGCAGAGCTCCATTAGAAAAGTGACAGGTCCCAGATGCTAGCGCGAAGGACAGGTGGACCCTTGGGCAGCTCCTTGCTTTTGCTGATCAACAGAAATGACTAATTCCAATGCTAAACCTTTCCTATGGTTACCAGGAGAGGCAAATACTTGGCTTCTGCTTTTCAACATGTGTTCCTGATTCAGATTCTTTAGAACCTTCCACCTAAAAGTACATAGAAATTAAAATCATCCAACCACGGTTTGAGTAAATATGGGGTCCTGGGTCCCACCCCAGCACTACAGAATATAAACGAATCTAACAGACTTAAGTGAGAAAGTCACAGGTATTCTTCTCTTTCCTTATCAGGATGGAGATCGAAACCAGGGTCAGAGGGTCCCCAGCAGGCACTCACTTCAACACAAATACCTTTCCCCATGTTCTGCCAGTGACATCAGATTTAACAAGAGTCCATGCACACCCTTAGACTCTGTCCAAAGGGTGGCCTTAGCTTCAGGGATCTCCTCTAAAGTGTGGAGGAGACACCTAGAAAGGACATGAGCATACCATTGCTTAAAGCAGATACTGGCCTCTTTGTACTCAAAAAATATCACAGGTAAAAACAAGAGCACCTCCAAGACAGAGCCACCCTCTCTCCCATAACAAAATGCCCCTCAGAGCAGCTACAGGTCAGACACCGAAGGACAAGACAGAAAACCACCCATCCTTAAAGACTATAGCTATCACGCTTAAATTCGTGGGTTTGCAGTCAGCAGCAGCCAGTATTCAGATCGGAGGCTCCACATGCTAAGGGACAACTGCTGGTCCTTTTGGAGGGGCAAGAAAATGATCCATCACTTCTCTCGTCCTCTTTGAACTTGCTGAATCTCAAAGTGGCCTGACAGGCTGACCAGGCAAGTGATGTCATCACTAAAAATGCCACAGGACTATCACTCCAGACCAGAGTTATCAACAGTTAATACCATCAATTCCCACAGTCAGTCCTCAGAATCCACTAGACAGAATCCATTCCATACTCCACCCAAAATGGACTACACTCAGAAACTGGGATGCAGCTTACAGACGCAAAGACAACAAGAAGTCCGGATTTGCAAGCAAGACCAGATAAGGATAGCTGTAAGAAAAAAGCACGTGGGCTAGAGAGATGGCTTAGTGGTTAAGAGCACTGACTGCTCTTGCAGAGGTCCTGAGTTCAATTCCCAGCATCCACATGGTGGCTCACAAACATCTGTAATGGGATCAGATGCCCTCTTCTGGTGTGTCTGAAGACAGCGACAGTGTACTCATATACATAAAATAAATGAATAGATCTTTAAAAAGAAAGAAAGAAAAGAAAATAAGAAAAGAGCAACTGATCAAACCCCTCCAGAGAAGAGGGTGACACCAAAACATGGCAGCCATGATGGAGCCTTAGGTAAGATCCGCAAACGGAGAAAGGGGAGTAAAACGGTTTCTGATAATCTGGGTAGCTGGACCACTAGAGGTGACAGGACTCTGCCTGGCCTTGAGAGGACAGCAGAGGCTGGAGGTGGACATGAGGAACTGATGACACTACTTCTGCTTAGGCTGGAGATTTCCTGTCACAACTGAATGCAGAGAAATAAAAAAGCCTGTGTAGAAACCCAGGAGTTACAGGACCAACAAACTGTGGGCAGTAGCCATCAGAGATGGCTCCAGTATGCTGCAGAAGCAGGTTCTGGTTACTCACCCCCTAGCCAAAGGATCAGGACATCTGGCAGCTCATAGCCTCATGACCCACAATCTCTACCTACTAGAAGGAGCTGAGGTGCACAGGGAACTATAACAGACACCAGGAATGGAGTGCCAAGGCTAGGCACAGGGGCCTTCGGGGCTTCAGTCCCATGGCAGCTGTCACTCCCAATCTTTCTCAGGAGAACACACACCTCGTCTCTTCAAGACTCAGTAGCCACCGTGACAGAAACCAGTGGCAGCACACATATCTCATTCATCCGGCACCCCACCTGCCTACCTCTTCAGCCCGCTGGGCCTCCACATGCTTGTCTAAGTAGGTGCCCTCCAGCACAGATCCCACGATGGTCAGGCCCTTGCCAGCTTTCAGCTGAGAGGTAAAGGACAGCAGGCGGGGGTGCTTTACACACTGCTCAGAGTCCAGGTTCAGCATCACCAACACCTGTGGCCTGTAGCAGGATAGGCAGGGACAGGAGTTATGACAGCGACATACAGCCAGGGCTCCCATGCTCACTGAGCCAGACAGGATAGAGATGGGAAAGTGAGTAGACAGACAGCACAGGAAGACCTGGTGGGACAGGTGGGACAGGTGGGACAGGTGGGACAGGTGGGACAGGTGGGATGTAAAGGACAGATGGGACTGGTGGGACAGGTGGGACAGGTGGGTCAGGTGGAACAGGTGGGATGGAAAGGACAAGTGGGACAGGTAGGACCTTGTGTCTGAGGCTTCAGGTGTCCCAGCTAAGGTTGCTTTGCTTGGCCTTAGGACAGAGGATCCCTTAGTGGATCATGCCTCCAATCCATACTGCTGGTGGCTTGTTGGACATTCAGGACCCATCTGGATAGTCTCCCATTCTTAGGCAATGATGCCCTGTCAGATTTCTCCCCAGAGGGCCAAAGGCAAAAACTTCTGAGATAGCACTACCCAGTTGGCAGGATAAGGGTCTCTGCTCCCTTCTGCTATCTTGGGGCTGTGGTTGTGGAGTGTACTCACCTCCAGTTCTTGGTATGTGGGGGCCCATGTTCCACACGCAGCAAGGCATAGCGGGCAGCGTTCAGTGACAGGCCCCTGATGCCATCCCCCCACTCCTTCTCAGCCCTGTGTGGGAACAGAGGAAGGCCACCTTGTCACAGTAATATTCTTAAAAATGTTACCTAGTGGGAACATTCACAATGTGTGTTAACCCGACAGGAAGCGGCTTCCCAGGACAAGCAGGGCTCCTGGGTTAAAAGAAAAGGTTCGAGCCGGGCGGTGGTGGCGCACGCCTTTAATCCCAGCACTTGGGAGGCAGAGGCAGGCGGATTTCTGAGTTCGAGGCCAGCCTGGTCTACAGAGTGAGTTCCAGGACAGCCAGGGCTATACAGAGAAACCCTGTCTCGAAAATCCAAAAAAAAAAAAAAAAAAAAAAAAAAGAAAAGGTTCGAGCAGCAGAACTTGCTGTGTGGTACCGTTCACTGGGGACACCAGGGACAGAGAGAAGAGGTTGAGACCATGACTTAGAAGCCCTGAACTGTATTGGTCTCAAGGCCCAGAGTGAGGACAGAACTGTCAAGGAAGGACAAAGGTAACACTGTGGAGATGGAACTCTGAAATGTACCATAGCTCCTGGGACATGCCCGTGCTATGGTTGACAGAGGGCCAAATTCCTTAAACACACTGTCAACAGTGGAAGCCACAGATGTGCCTGTTAATAAATTGGAATATATGTGAAATTAAAAATAACAAAAAAAAAAAAACGAAAACCCTGCCCAGCTTCTGCACAATAGAATCCTGGGCAGGAAATCAGCATAGACCTGAATAAAGTCAGCCTGGCTGGGACTAGGGGACAACACAAGACACTGAAGACTCACAGGGTCTAACCTCCATGAGACCTCAGCAGCAGCACATGGACTCATGCCCCAGGCTGGTCAAGTAACTGCTCTGGTTCTGTGTGAGCATGAGGAGTGTGGTGAACTCACAGCTTTCTAAGGGGCTGCCACTCACCCACGGTACTCGATGTACTTGTAGATGCAGCCGGCGATGAGCATGGCGAAGAGGGCATAGTACCAGGAGCAGATGAACATCAGTGCGAGGCAGAGACTCATCCCAAGGAAGGAGAGCGTCCTGATGGACAGGAAGGTCAGACCCAGCCCATACAGCCCCTAACTGGCACCTGAAAACCTGCTTCTCCCACTGCACTTTCCCCATTATGAAACTCTTCCTTGGGCAGGATATTGGTCCATGACCCATGGCAATCAGGGCTGCCACTCAGGCATCCCTGAAATACGAAATGGCTCCCAGGGATTCAGCTTGGAGACAGTGCAACTGTCTGTTTCCCTCCTGATGTGCACAAGACACCCAGCTACGTGCAGAACACAGAATGGGCTCCACCCACTCAGCCAGCACTGTGCTGGAAACGGGCCTGAAGAATACTGGCAGCTCTGGGACCTCCACCTTTCTGGTTGGAGAGGACCAGGCTGACATACGAATCATATGTGTACTCAGGAATGCAAGACCAGGACAGGGCCATGGCCTCATGGATTTCACTGGGGCTCCTTTCACCAAAACAGTTTTAAGTCCAGCAGCAGGCAGCTTCCAGAACACATTGCATTGTGCTCAGGTTTGTGGGTCCCCCAGGGCATCCACACAGAAGAAGGCCTTACCAATGATAGAACTTGAAGCGTGGACGCCAGTTGGGTGTGCGCAGCAGGGTCTGTACAGCACAGGCCAGATTGACGAACATGTAGCACATGAGGAAGAACCTGGAACAGAAGGTCCAGTGAGGCTGCTGACTGATCACTCATAATGACCCAGTGGTATCCTGCCACTGATCTACCGCACACTGCTCACCACCTTTGAGGGAGACCCTCCCTGTTTACACAGTGGAGCCTCCTCTACAGGCCTCCACACAGCAGCTGAGGGACCCTATGAACAAGTCACATGCCTACTGTCCCTCATATGCACCCACTGTAACATCTGTCTATCCTCAGCTTGCTCAACAGCTGTCTGCCCACAGCACAACTACCTGGCCTTCTGTGCCTACCTTCTATGTATCTTTAGTTCAGATAGGGAGGAAAAATAACCAATTCCTCACACCCTCCACCCTGGTGTCCTTGCGGGCTACTCACATGGACAGGATGGGGGCCACACTGTCCAGGGAGGCGATGAGGATACCAGTCTCACAGATGAGGGCCGTGAGCAGCAGGGCCCATGTGGGCTCCCCGTTGGCCTTTCCATGGCCAAACACCTGCAGTGTGGAGAGGGGTGGGTGGGCTGGATTAGGAAAATACCTGTAGAACAACTTACAAGGCTTACAAGCAAAACTTAGCTTTAGTCACATGTCACCACGCTGTTGGCAGCCAAGTCCAAAACCCAACAGCCACACAGACAGAGAGGCTCAGGGGAGAGCCCTGCCACACCCAAACTTCCATGTTTGGGTTTTTTTCCCCCTTTTTTCTATCTTCAAATTACTTTTGTGTGGTCAGTATCCAGTCTCCAGAATTTTGGGGAAACGACTTCCTTTGGATTAAGCCACTGGAGTTATGATACTTTGATGACACAATCCCAGGACTCCCATTACATCCTGTACCTCTAAGTTCAATCCAGGAACCTCAGTCCCAGTTATAGAGGCCAGGTTCAGGGACACCAAGTCTATGGTTAACACCAGTGGGATCACCCTTGGCATGGTCTCAATAGGTCAACGGATAACATGGCTCACTGGAAAAGGACTTTATAGTATTGGGTAACCTCTGCCCTGGGCCTGCACCCTCAGTCCAGCAGCTAGTGTGAAAGATAACTAGTGTAGAGTCCAAAGCAGGACATATGTCCCCTGCCTTCATTCTATCTGTCTAGCTCTGCAGGACAGCCTCTTAGGGACCCCTACACAACCCAGACCTGACATTGCATGGTCTCTTCTCAGGGCAGCCAGCATCATCTGCTGCAGCTTGTGTGAAGGACTCACCTGTAGGAAGGGGATGATGCCATCACGCGCAATGGCCTGCAGCAGGCGGGGTGCCCCTGTCAGGCTCTGTAGACCAGCACCACAGGTGGAGAAGAAGGAGCCAATCACGATGACCCAGGGAGATGGCCAGGCCAGCATGCCAATGACCAGGTTCCCTTGCAGGGCCTCCCCAAACCTATAAGGTAAGTGGGGAAGATGGTAAGTAGAGATTTCAAAAAGTGATCTGAAGGCAAGAAAAAAAAAATCTCTGTTCCCTATTTGAGTGTAAACCCTTGGGCTTAGGGAGAAGGAAGGAAAAGAGCTCATCTCAGAGGCACAACCCAACTAGGACCCAGCCAGCCTGACATCCCCCACCTCCTCAGAAAGGGCTTAGGTGGCTTAAAACTATTCCCCTAGAATCCCCTTAAGAGCAGGAAACCCTGGCTGATACTAAGGTGGTCCTGGCCACTGCCATTTCTGCAGAGGTTCTATCTCTGTAGGTCTGGTGGTACTATATTTTTTTACCATGCCGTTTATAAGGACCCTTGAAGCCCTGAGATTCTGACAAGCCCGTATCCTAAGAATGAAGGGTCCACGATAGTCCACACTGAGATTCGGCTGACTGAGCAGCAGGACTAGGGTTCCTAGGTCCTATCTCTCCCATTCTCACACCTGTATTCATTCCTCATCCCCAGCTTCATCAGGCCTCAACATTGCTCTGAGCAGTCTTCAGGCTCCAGGCCCAAGAGGTGACACATCAATGCTTTAATCAGGCAAAAGGCAGTGTCATCCTCTGATAAGAACATTTAACTTATATTCAACTGTGAGGCCCAGAGGTAGTTTAATTTCAAAGCTGAAGTCTCCCTCAGGAAAGACAATACCAACTACAGTCATTTTATGTAGTAAAAGCCCAACATACTTATCTCGCAGGACCACACCTTCGATGCAGGCCCCAAACAGCACTATGCAGGAAAGATCTGAGTTGAAGTCAAGGAATAGACAGTCCTGGGGCAAGAGAGTAGCAGGCAAGCTCCAGGTAGATACATGTTGGCCAACAGGTCCCATCCCGTGGGCCTGGAGCAACCCTGTAGCCAGGGCCACCTAGTGGTAAGATATCTCCATATCCTGTCCCCACGGATGTGCCTCCACAGTCCTCTGGGTACTGTCCTCACATCTGTCTAGTTACAGAGTGCTAACCACAGGGTACTCAAAAGGTGCTTGGTTGGTGACCCAACCACCCTGCTGGGAGGACAGGACTCCTGGAACATCAGTTTCACAAAAGCAACTGTGATCTATGCTTATGCCATATGATAGTTTCCGTATGATGGCTTGAATATGCTTGGCCCAAGGAGTGGCAGTATTTGGAGGTGTGGCCTTGTTGGAGTAGGTGTGTCACTGTGGGCGTGGGCTTTAAGACCCTACTCCTAGCTGCCCGGAAGTCTTCCACTAGCAGCCTTCAGATGAAGATATAGAACTCTCAGCTCTGTCTGCATCATGCCTGCCTGGATGCTGCCATGCTCCCACCTTGATGATGATGGACTGAACTTCTGAACCTGTAAGCCAGCCCAATTAAATGTCATCTTTTTAAGAGTTGCCTTGGTCATGGTGTCTGGTCACAGCAGTAAAACCCTAACTAAGACATGCCATATCCCATGCTACACCTAACCAAGGCTATGTACCCTTAGTGTGCACCAATCCAATGGTGGGTTGTATTTCTTTTTCCTTTGGTATTACTGGAGACTTGAAGCCAGGGCCTTGTGTATGCTGGATAAGCACTCTACCACTGAACTACAACCCCTGGTCCTCTTTTGGATTTTTTTTTTAAGGGATATTGTGTCAAATACAATCATAGGAGACAGGAATACAGGTGCCATGCTTTAATGTGGCACATCACCTAAGGCTATACAAGTAGGGCAGGCTGTGGTGACACAATGCACCACAGATGGGCACAATGGGGGTGTGACTGAGGGGAGTGGAGCAAAGGCAGCAGCGTTCGAGTACGACACCTGGCACAGGGCCCCTTTAAGGATACAAATGAAAGATGTGGTCACAATGGCCAGAATGGTCCCTGTTGGGATGGACTTCTGGGCATCTTTGAGGTCCCCAGAGCGGTTGGATCCTGCCATGATCCCTGCAGAGCAGATAGGGGTAACAGTGACAGAAAACCTAGAGGATGCTGCCCACAGAAAGATTCATCTGTAGGTCAGAGAAGAAAAGCCAATACCACCACTGCTTGCTGGAAAGGTGGTCTCTGGGGACTGAAAGAAACAGAGACAGACACACAGAGACCAGAAAATAGAGACAGACCAAGAGACAGAGACAGTGACAGGGAAACAGAAAAACGGAGTCAGAGAGTGAGAGACAGTCATGGTGGGAGCACACAGAGAAACAGATACAGAGAAAGAGGGGGAGGGGAGGCTGGGGCCTCACCAGTTACGGAGGGGAAGTAGATGCCAACTAGCATGGTGAAGTAGGTCATGATGTCTGTGAGGACATATGGCAATCCACCAGGACGGCTCTCCTCAGACACCGGCACTGAGGACACGCCCTTCTTTTCCACAAATGCCCCCTTGTCCGAGTATGTGCTCCACAGGTTATCTGTAATAAGAACAGTCAGGATTTCTCAGCCCTTGGTCAAGACTGCCCACTGGACTGTCTACACCCAGCATCACCGCTCACAACTGCAGGTGGTTCTTCCACGCCTCTGATTCCAATCGGGGGCACTCAGCTTGTGAGGACCACATGCAAGAAGCCACTCTCCCCAGACCTCAACATGAGGTTTTGGCACTAAGGGATCCTCACACACAGTACTCACATGCTCCTAAACAGCTAGCTGCCCACAGTCTCGGTGCCCTCCCTGTTAGGCATCCACCGACAAGGCAGAAACATAGAGCCTGCAACTGTATTGGTTCCTCCAATGATCCAGAGAGTGTGGCCACCTTCACTCTCTACTACACTCCAGACTGGCATAATACAGTCTTGCACTGACAGTGAACACCCCATAGGGACTGCACCATAGGTGGCCTCCAGCCAGCAATCCATATGCCCTTGCTGCCTCCCTTGAGATCCTTTGAGGGTTGCTTTCTCCAGATATCTTGCCTCAGAGACTCCAGGAGGTCCTGAATATGGGACCCATGTGCTCCTCCCCCATCACCCAGACACAGCCCTCAGCTGCCCACTGACACCACACCATCCATGTGGGGCATACAGAACCCAACCTCATACAGAGTAGACTATGAGGACCAAGTGTTCAGGCTCCCCAGCACTGGGTCCTTCTCTCTAAGATGAAGCTGCCCCCTATTTGTTATCCCAATATGTGGATGGTGATGACACGGATAAGTCCTGGACCAATCAGGGATACCTAGCAATTTCCAGGCCATGTTGGGCTTCAAAGTGTTTGTCTCAAACAAATAAACACTGAATGCCTGGCCTTACCCAGCTGATTTGCAGCAGATGAAGAAGGCCATTCCAGCCTAGGGTTTGGCTGGATGGGACCCCAGGAATATGACTAAGCAAGAGGAACCAGGGCCCTAAGAATAACCTCAAACAACCCAGAGAACTGGCCCTAGCCGTCCCCACCAACACTCACCTAGGAAGACACCACTGGCCACACCAGGGATGCCCTGGATCTCAGTGACGTTGTTCTGTGCAAAGTACTCATCACAGGTAGCACCCAGGCTGGAGCCATTGCAGAAGAGGCGCCAAAGTGCAGTGGTTACTGTGCCATTGCTGACAACCTGCATTTTGGCACAGGTATCAAAGTTGCGATTTGCCAGAGTGCGGTTCCCTAGAAGGCAGACCCTGGAACAGAGAAAGGGCAGAGCTTGTTTTCACCAAGCTATTCAGCAGACTCATGGGGGGGGGGGTCAACACCTCCTGAGCAACTCTAATAAACCTGACCCATGTTACTCCAGGGTGCACATGTCAGGAGCAAGCATCAAGTCACAGTCCAGCAGCTTGAAGACTGATTTCACATACAAGCCCTCCATAGGTCAGGACTATCCTCTTTCTGCCCAGGGCAAGTCACTCTGGAAGGTGGCCATACCCTCCACAAAGATGATGAAACTACAGCTCTGTGGATTTCATCCCATCCTGGCTCCCACATTCCGTACCAAGGGCCATGGCTTTGCTCAGTCCTAACATGCTCAGACGGCACCTGGGTCCCATGCTCACTCACTTGCTGTGACACCAGCCACCTTGGTTAACTTCCTCAATCCCATAGGAGGACAAGAGGCAGCCCATTTGAGGAGTTTCTATGAAGATGAGGAAGCCATGGGATGAGAATGGCCTGAAAAGCTCAGCTGTCTGACTGTGGTGGTTTGAATGAGAATGTTTCCCATAGGCTCAGACATTTAAAACTTAATACTCAGTTGGTGGTGCTTTTGGGGGAGGTTCAGGACATTGGGCCTTGTTTCAGGAAGTTATGTTCTGGGGACAAACTTTGTCAGTCTCACTTTCGGTTTGCGATCTCCCCTCCCCCATCCCCTTCTCAGCTTCCTACTCCTGTGCCTGCTTTTTGCTGCTACTTCTCCTTGCCATGATAGACTCTCACCCCTCTAGAACCACAGGCCAAAATAAATGCTTTCTTCCATAGCCTGTTCCCAATCATGGTGCTTTATCACAGCACCAAAAAATAACTAACCCACTGTCCACCCTGAAAGATGGACAACCTTCACCAGCCTCCTGACTTCACAGACACACCCAGAACCAGCTGCATGGGCACTGTACCCACCGCATACTCCTCAAAACCACACTGGAACCTAGGAATGAATGATTATCAAGGATACCTCCATTTTCTTCCCTAGAAGAGCTAGGAGAGGAGAACTAGGAGGCCAGGCCCAGCCCCTGGAACAACACTGCAAGGTGATCCAGCATTTGATCAAAGCCACTCTCACACACCCACACCACCACCAGGATGGCTTGAGACTCACGGGATGTCAGGTGGGGCAAACGCTGTCTTGATGACACCAGCATAGATGGCCAGGATAGAAAGAACAACACAGGCTAAGAAGACCAGTGCCAGCTTGTTGACATATTTGACACCAACAAAGACCACCACCGCCATGAGTGCCAGCGCACAGCTGCCATACACACGCATGTTGTTCAGCAGTGCCGCCGCCTCACCATCTGCCGTCTCTGCCTGGAAGATGGCCGCACTTGGAGAGATGTAGGTCTGTGAGAATAAGGCAGGTCAGCAAAGAAGCTCCTATCCAGGAACGCACCCAGCCTTGACCTCATACTGGCTTCCTCCCTGATACTCAAAAAGAAGGCCTGTTGGGCTTGAGGCCACTGGGTGCACAGAGACAGAATCTTGTGTGCCATCCAAGATGGACCCAGGGCATCAGGCCTGCAGTCATTCCTGTCCAGTTCCCTCAAACTGCCAGAGCCTGATTGTAACATCGGTCATGTTACTAACAGCCAGGGAGAACCCTTGTGGTGAGGGGCCAAGGACTCCTGCCAACAGCCTCAGCAGAGTCCAGCGCAGCTCCTCCGTCTTTACTAATGCCAGCTGACTGCTGAGTGCAATCTCCAGAGAGCTACCAAACAGCAAGGTTGTCCTTCAAGCTGCTCTACTGTAGGAATGTGACTTCCTTAGAGACCAACCAGACCCTAGGAATGAGCATGACAATCTAGAGTCTGCAGTCCAGGACCCATAGGGGAACAAGGAACCCTAGGTCCTAGCCCAGACTACTCAAATTAGAATATGCATTTGCCCCCATGAAATCGTTCTTAAAAAGCATGGGAAGGTTTCCGTGCTGGCTCTAGGATGCTTGCAGAGAAAAAAGAGCCAACTTCATGGAGATGGTATAGTGATAGTTAATATTTATTATCAATTGACAAGATCTAGATTCACCCAGGAGAAATCCTCTGGGAAGACCTGTGTCATATTAGATTAGCCTCTGGGATTAGCTACAAGATTAGCTGGGATTAGATTATCTCAAGAGTGAGGGATTATTTTGAGTTAACTAAAGATGGAAAGACCCACCACTTTTAGGGTGGGGGGCACCATTCCCAGGGTTGAGATTTGGAACTGTATAAAAAGTAAAAGGCTATCTGAACACCAGGATTCATCTGTCTTCTTCCTAGTCAGGAATCAGCTGACCAGTTGCTTCAAGCTCCTGCCCCATGATTTCCTGACCATGATAAACAGTACCCATGGTGAAACTTATGCTACAAAGCCCACCAAACATTGAGCCCAAGACCAACATCAAGTTTCAGGGAAGCCCTTCTGCAATGGGAGCTGCATACCAGACTGTAAGAATCAGTGATGAGCAGAACTGCTTTGCCTTCTGGGGCTAGGGTCCTGCTTAAGGAGTTACACAAGTCCAGTTCTAGCCATGCCTCCTGAGACAGCACAGATTATAAGCTCTCCTCCATCAGGGACCCAGACCCTCAGCCCAGATAGCAACTTTGAAAGCCCAGATATCTAGAGCAGCAGGATAAAGGTCAGAGGTAACCTACAAATGAGCTCACAGGCAAAGTGCCTGAGTAAGGAAGACTTCCACAGATGGACTCACCAGGAAGATCTCAATGGTACCCAGGATGTACATGGCGCCAGCAAATGTCGTACCCAAGTAGAAGCAGAGGCCAACAGCCCCTCCAAACTCAGGCCCCAGTGAACGGGAGATCATGTAGTATGAGCCTCCCGCTGTAAAGATAGTCCAAAGAAAAATATGGGTCAGGGAGTGCCATTCACTATGAACACTGAACACGTATAAAAAAAGATGTGTCCCCAATAAGGGATAAGCAGCTTTAGTCTGCCCTCAAAACAGAATCACTAGAAGGCCTTGGGCTATATGAATTCATGTCTACCCTGCCTAAAGACACAGGCTAGCTCAAGTGTGATGAGAACTGTCTGATACAGGTAGGTACAGTACCTCATCTGTCTTCAGAAAACCTGCTGTGCCCTCAGATGGTTAAAAGGGAGAGACTGGCATAGGCTTGCCAACTCTTTTATGCAGAGGACAGGCAGTAGTGCCTGGTGGTGTGTCTCTGCTAGCGCACAAGAGTACATTGCTTCAGAAGGACCTACATTCTACTTAGGTTTGTAACCAACTCAAGGATGTGGTTTCTATCCTCATAATAACAGACAGGCAAGCAGTAAGGGTGTGTCTACACCAGAGTGTCTGGGGAAAGAGCCTCTCTCTTCTCTCCATGGGCAGCACAATACTCCAGTGCCACCCTGGTGAAAACAAATTAATGTCACTGTCACCACATGAGCCTGGGGCGGGAATGGCATCCATACGCATGTAGCTCTTGTCCCGTACTATGGAAAGATCAATAAACCAACTCAAAAGCCACAGGCACTGGCACACTCACCTGGGACCACACCGTTGGTAGCGATGGCACTCATGGAGATGGCTGTCAGCATTGTCTGCAAAGAGAGGCAGCTCTTTCAGGAAACGTGTACCCTGAGATGCTCCAACACGCCCAGCCTGAGGCTGCAGGCTTTTGACCTCAAAGGAAGTACTAAATGACCAGGAAAGACAGACTTCCTGCCTGTCAACCCTTTTCTACCCAACCCACAAATCCATTCCTGAAGGTCACAGAAAACACAGGCTTCAGACCCTGCTGGCCACAGATCTAAAAGCTGAACCTCATCTAGGTGACCCAATTACATTTCTACCAACCCATGTAGCACAAGAGGGACACTTCATCTAGATGGGCATCCAACAGGGAATCCACCTTGCCTCCAGCAAGTACCCTCTGCTCAAATAAGTTTATTTGTGGGTACCAGGAATGCCAATACCACAAAGAATAGCACTCAGGTGATAAATCAAGTGAGTAGCCGGAGGTAGCCACACAGTGTAACCAGAAGACAGCCTGGGGGTGACCATATGGAATGACCAGTCTAGAAATATGGGCGAATGCCCTAGGGTGGTCATGGTGGGGCAGACACATGAAGTGACCAGTAGGAAAGCATGGGCTGGAGGCTTGGAATGACAACATAGACTGACCAGTCATGGGGCAAGTGACCAGGTATTCACAAGGAATGACCAATCAGAGGACAGTGAGTAGCCTGGGATAGACACATAGGTATGAGCTATCAGGGAACAAGTGGTCAAGTAGCTTGGGGTAGGAGTCAAGGAGACTCCCATTCAACTATATTATCTGAATTCCCTATAGAAAGGACCCAGTGACACTTAGGTAAGTAAAACCAATATATATTCTTCCTCACCAGAGAAAGGGGAGGGAGAGAAAGTCAGCTGGTAAACAAAGGGGCTGTGAGTGTAAGGTAAACCAGCATGACAAAAATGTCACTACAAATAAGGAGACATGCTGGAGGCCTGGACTTGAACAAGTTACAGACCTGTGTCCCTTTTTTCTATAAGAGAAAACCTAAAAATATTCATGATCCTTCCAAACTAGGGGGAGTTTCATCGTAATCCAGTAAGAGGCACCTGCTCCTGATTCAGCCCTCAGCCCCTCTCATCCCCAGATGTAGAAATGCCATCCTCAACATAGATACAGCTAGATAAGATACTCAGACTAGTGGGAAACCTGGCCTTTGCCAGGCTGGATGGGCAGGCCCGTCTTTTCCGAGTCTTCTATAGGAGCTGGTTCCTAGAGAGGGACCTAAAAGGCAGACCTGGATTTCCCAATAGTAGCCTCGCTCCTGAGAAAGTGCCCCAGGACTAACTTCGAACACTCACACAGGTGCAGCACATGGACACGATGAGGAAGGACTCCAGAACGCCAGCTGCCCCCACAATCCAGGTCAGGCGCAGGAAAAGGATAACACCCAAGATGTTCTGCAGGCACGGCAGGTAGACTCCGATGAAGGTGCCCATGCGTGGGGCCTGGAACAGAGTATCATATGTCTGGAGAGGCTCACAGCTTGTACCTAGTAACTCAGCCTGGAACTCTACCCTGTGCTTTGGTTTGGAAGTCACAAGAAAGGAGAAACTGGGGAGGAACACGATGGCCGTACCATTGAAGCTACAAGGATAGCAAGGATGCCTGACAAAAATCTATGTCCCAAATAAGATGAGGTTCCGTGGTTCTGGAGCAGACCACGTGCATCTAGGGCACTGTGCTAGAAGGGAAGAAAACCACCCTATGCAGGCACAGGGACAAGCCACCTGGCTCTGCTTTCCTACTGGGGAGAAAAGCCAGAGTGCGAAGTTTGGAACAGTAAGATGGTATCCTTGTTATATCTGTGGGACAGCAAGGGGCCTGAACCTTGGTGCCAGGAAGCTTGAGGCATGAAAGAAAGGAGGCTAGAGAGGGGCTGGATACCAGCGAGGCTGCCTTACTGGTATTTAGTTCAGGAGTCTCAGTACAATAGGAAACAGACTAGAGACCTGGGGATAGAAGAGCTGAGAAACCACACCCCAACAAAGGAGGCTCATCTCAGTTTAGGTGAACACAGAATGAGCATGGAGGACCAGCTTGAGCACAATCCCTGTGGATGATGATCACAAGGCTGGTACAGAGCAATGCTCGCACCGAAGCCTGGCTGAGGATATCATCCAACCTGAGACCAGACAGGAGAGCCCAGCAGCTGAGGAATGGTGCTGGACGGTTGTAGTTGGCCAGAGGGCAGAGTTCAAGGAGAACAGATCTAAACCTGAGAGGACAGGATGGCAGCTCAGGCCTGCACAGAGCCCTGCCACTGTGAGCCACCCAGGACAGGGCAGCTTAACTTCCACCAACTGGAGATCAAAGGTTTCACAGGAAAAATGCTCTGGAGAGCTCTGGGCTTGAAAGCCTGGAGGCCTTAGCCCTGAGCCCAAGGCCAGTAAGCATCATGGTTCACACTGAAGGGAGAAATATATAATAGTAAGAGGGAGGCCTAAGCCTTGACCTCATGACCTCCCTATCTTCAAGGTCTGGACACTGCCTTCTGGGGTCAGAAGATAAAGTCTTTATGGACTTGGATTCTGCAAGCCGGCAGATGAAAAAAAGGCCTCTGGGACTTTTTGAGAGTTATTTTTTATCTTTATTCTGTTATGAATAAATCCATGTGTGTTGGTATATGCACATGAATGAGAATTATCTTCATTTTTATTATGTTATATATACATATATGTGTGTTGGTATAATGCACATGAGTGCAAGTACCAATAGAGGACAAAGAGAGTACTAGATCCCTTTGAAATGGAGTCCTAAGTGGTTGTGACCTGTCCAACACGGGTCTTCTGGAAGAGTAGCAGTCACCCACACTTGTCGAGCCATCTCTCTAGCCTGTCTTGTTAATTTCTCAGTTAAACTAAAGAATGTATGTGTACAAGACCACAGTGTGAGATGGACACTAGAGAGAGTCAATGTCTCTAATAGAAACATGGCAGAAAACAACTTGTCAAGGCAGGTCATTGATGGGCAGCCTGAGGTATACAAGCGGCTGTCAGGTCACATGGCTTAGCTTCAGATCCCACTGAGACATAGGTTCAGGAGCTAGCTGTCTGTTCCATAGCCTAGTGCCTGGGATTCCCAGATCCTTCGAGAAGAGTGGATGGCCACCTCTAATCTCTTAGCTTTGTCCAGATGATCCAGATCTGTTTACAACCCAGAAGCAGCTCAAAAGAAAGTGATTCCTGTCTCTGGGGACAAGTTTCTCTGCCATCAAAGGAGATACTGGGGGCAGGCTCTACTTCTGTCCTGCTGACCCCATGGATCCCTAAATGGGACATTTCAACCAAGATAAGCAGCTCTGCTGTGGGTCTAACCATTAATCTGAAATCCAGTCCAAAAGCATGTTCCCCTGGGAAACACTGGTCAGAGAATTGCCACACTTTGGGTTAGGGTAAAATATACTAAGGCCATACTAAGTTTAATATCCCCAAACCTGGATGCTGAGCTTACAAGGATGGGTTCTTTCCATGGTGACCGCATGGGCAGCCAAGCCTGCTGGGCTCCACTCTTAGGAAATAAAGACTAAACTGTGGGATCAACCTGAGCAGGACCTTGACTATGCAGAGTTGAGGCTGAGGGTCAGTTCCAAGATGTTTTCAGCTCAGTGTCTGTTCCCTGGCACAGGCCAAGTTTTCCTTGGACACAAATTCTAGCAGACAAAAGAGATAGACAGATGGACAAATGGACATGTGTACTGTGGACAGGGAAGGCCTGGGCTTCTGAAGCCCAAGAGCCTGTTAGGCTGTAAGTCAGTATGGGGGACACAAGTAAACTCCACTAATGCATTTGAGTGACAAACCTACCACCACAGCAGCCCCTAAATTCTCCTCTATAGTCCGTCATTCAGCACATCTGGACAGCTGTGACTCTGTCACCTCAGCAGGGTCAGCTAAGGATGTCCAGAGTGTCTGGGAGAGAGCAGGAAAAGGCATGGCCCAGACGTTTCTGAGGAAGCCACTGCCCTACTGCCAGGAAGACAACCCATGGCTCTGTTAACCTTAGCCCTGTCCCCAGAGACCACACGTCCCCAAATCTGAATAGTCTCAAAAGCACTGAACACCGTGTTAAACTTGAAATCCAGTACTGATCCTACTGTGTTTGCAGCGGGGGGAAAGAAGACAGCCAGTGCCGCTCTGTAGCCTGACTTTAATAGAGCCACAGTCAGGCTGGGAATTGGCTCATGAGAAGCACCTAGGCAGCAGCTAGATGTGACAAACAGGGTAGATCACCTTCATCTTTGCTCACCAGCATTGAACCTCTCCCTCCAGACAAAGCAAGGGCCTCAGGGAGCTAGAGCATGAGGTGAATGAAACTCAAAGTCTTTAGGGAAGGCTTTAAGCCAGACATAATGGCAGGCACATACCTGTAATCCCAGTACCTGGAAGCTGAGGCAGAATTACTGTGAGTTCAAAGCCAACTTTGGGTGACATAGTGGGTTCCTGGCCAGAGTGAGACTATCTCAAAAAAACAAACACCACAACCAAATAATAAAATGAAACAGAAACCAGACCTCAGGCAGGGCTTAGTGCCTGAGAAGTCTCTCTGGAGCTATATGGCCCCATGGATGCCCACTCAAAGTTGTGCAGGGCAGCCTACACAGGACCTCTAGGACCTTGTCCTTTCCTGGAAGCACAGGATATTGGAGGTGTCCACTGAGACTTAGTACTAGAAAAATGAAGTTGGCCAAGCCTCATGAAGAGAAAGGATACATATGATCTGAAAGCCTGGCAAGGGTGTTCTCTGTCTAGAAAGTTCCAAGACTACTATCCACAGAGGGCAGCACATGTACCTTGATCTCCCGCCTCCGGCTGTCCTCATCCTCCTCATGCTCCACCACACCCTGGCTCAGGTTGGTATAGTTGGCTAGCTTGTTCAGGAGTGATGACACCATGGGGTTGCTGTCCATCTCTTCCTATGGGTGCAAAGCATCACATAGGTAGGAACCAGGTTCGTCAACATCTTAGGGCAGCAGTTTCCTGGCCCAGCACATGCACATCCCAGAGCCCAAGAGCCCACAGTCAAATGAATGGAACCCCCCCAGATCTGTGTGGTCCAGAACATCTGTCCAGCCAGTCTGGAATCAGAAGTCAGGGGCACTGAGAGAGTCCTCAAGGCTTCAGGAACTGTAAGGAATGCACCTGCCCATGTTGGAGCTCACTTATCAGAAACAAATAAGCTCAGTGGATCTCAGGCAGAAGCACCCTGCTCCTTCCTCATTAGCCCAGGCTGCCCTTGCCTGGGACACGAGAGATGACTGCTCCTTTACTTTCCCACAAGTTCTTCACTAAAATACCTTCTTCGTGTAGAAACTGAAACAAAATTACCTCAAAAAGTGCCATGTTCTTCCCCTCGAAGTAGCTTTCTCTTTCCACCTCCACATTATTGATGAATGGGCTATTCTCTCTGGGGTTTCCATCTCCTGTGAAAGACAGTCAGGTTAGTCTAAGGATCCCAGGCCATGCAGGCCCTGAGCCAGGGAGTGGCCAAGTCAGTAGGTATGGGACCCTGTATTCTAATTCCTTCCCCATCAGGGTCTTGGCAGAGATGTGCCTCTGAGGACACAGACACACAGGACAGGTCTCATGCTGCCAGGTTCCTAGACCAGTGCTCTCTGCCTCAGTTTCCATACGTGAGACGGTGACATCCTGTGTCTGCTTCTCCCCTCGGGGTGACCAGGCACGCTGTACACTGACTGGACTGGTGAGTACTCAAGTAAAGAACACGCACACCCAGGGACAGCTTCAGAGAGCAGGTTCAGCTCACTGGGGGGAGATCAAAGGCTATTTAAACCTTTGGAGGGTGAACACAGACAATCAAGGGTGAATGCACATCATTGGTTGGGACCAGGGTACCAGGGATGTCTCACTTGCATGAGGAGGAACTTCAGGGGCTGCTGGACATGACCTTATAAGGGGAAAGGAAGCTAAACTTGGCTACAGCTATGTGATCTCTGGTGAGGTATGAGTGGGGGCACAGGGCCACATGGGTCAGGAAAAGCAGACCCGAAGCAGAGGGAGTGAGCCTACTCCTGCTGATCTCAGGAACAAGGGGTAGTAAGAAGGGAACCAAAAAAAGAAAAAAATAAATAATCAAGAACAGTCTTGACAAATAGCGCTGGGGGGAGTGGTTTCGTGGGGGAGACAGGTTAGGTCCTGTAGTGTGTTCTACATTAGTACCCTACACGTGGGATCCTCAGCTCTGCTTTCTCCACATTCACAGTCAACGGGCAGTCTTGGACACTCAAGGCTCTTGACAGACAGGTCTAATAACCAGTGTAATCTTATGATGTCTGGGACGAGAGGAGACCACACCTTGGGGGTTTGGATTCCTGAGCATGGAATACCGTGGCATCGGGCACATGGTCTCGATACCTCATGTTCCAGCTGCCCAAGGATGCAGACATTTGTTCAGTCATAAAAAACATAGGGCTACAGGTTGGCATCCATTGAGTAGGGACCCTGAGGCACCGCAGTCAGAGGTCGGCAGAAAGGGAGCCTCCTTGAAGAAGGAAGGAACCTGAAGGAGAGCTTTGCTGTGACCCCTCTCCCCAAGCCCTTTTAAAACTAAGCTCACAAACTCAGATGACAGAAACAAAAGATCTTCAGGGGGAACAAGAACTGAGGCCTGATGTGACAGGTTGAGTCCCCTGTGCTGGTGTCTGGAACCAAGGCCTTGATCCTTGAGCATACTGTGGGCCAGCAGCATAGGGTAGAAAATACTGGGATCAGGGCAATGATTCTTGACTTGGACCTTTTCACGGTAGCTACTTGGAAGGAGGAACCAGGTAAAGATTCTAAACAGTCTCCAGTTGGGGAACAACAAGTTACATTATGTCCCCTTTCAAGTCCTACTAACCAGCATGTGATACTTCTGGGGATGACTACCCTAAAAGCCAAGAACCTCACAAACAGACTGGCCCCATTAAAGACTAAAGCCCTCTTTGAGAAGGAACACAGCACTGAGGTTTGTTTTGTTTTGTTTTGACAGTAGCTTTGAATTTCAAATTCCTCAAATCCCAATGGGATTATGCTGGCCTTCCGGGGAAGGCCCACACACACCTACTCTGCTAGCTAGTTCAGATCATGGTTTAACCACCAATCTGGATTGGTACCCAAACAGAAGAAGTTGACGCAGGTCCCTGAAGCTCACTAGACCCTTTCTGTCTCAGGATACACCTGATCCAGGTCCTAGTAACAAACTCCAATAATCAAGGTCATCAGGGGTCAGGGAACAAAGGAACACAAAGTGCCCTGCCCTGAATTTAAGTAGGCCCCTAAAACACAGCATCTGATTACATGTGCTAAACCAAAGCAGAGGGAGAAACCTTTGTTAGGGCCCACAGCCCAGAAGTGGGTTTGTTCTAAAACAAAATTCCCTCACCAGTACTCACCCAAATGCTGTAAGTCCCCCTGGTGTCCCCCTCCTCCTAATTCATGGCCCTTAGCTTCCCCTAGATCACCAAGGAACAGTAAGGTAGGAACAGAACTGATGACAGTCTTCTGCAAAGAATTCACAGAGCAGAGCAGACAGCTGAGAACACAGCCACACTACGCTTCTCAGCAGCGTGTCTTTGACAAGACAGGAGCTCTGAAGACAGCGGAATATACACAGCAAGGTACAACCAGCCCAGAGCTCAGACTCTGTGTGTTCTGTATACACTATCCTCCCTAGTGGGGACCTCACACTCTTCATATTCCATTCACATCAGAACCTTGGAGCAAGTAGGAAGGGACAAGATTGTATGCCACATCATGGTCTGAAGCTGAAAATATGGCAGTCTGGTCCTTTACTGGATGGTCAGGAAGCTGGGGGCAGAGTGAGCTCTGCTGATCTGCCTACGCATACACGCTCACCCTTTCAAAATCATGTAGAGCCTTTCTACAAGAGAAGGCTTACAAGCCAAGGCACAACCTCCCTGGGTTCCCATCAAACCCATACCTGCCCCCACACAGTGACACCAGGCCAGCATCCCACAGAACAGCCCCCTTCCATCTGGAGGCAGGAGCCTGTCCTCTCAACTGTCCCCAGCGTGAGATCTCCTCATCTCACCAACTTCAAATCTTACATGTGGCAGATCTAAGACAGTCAAGGGGCAGATGAGGTCGCACCAAAAGAAACGGGAGAGGTGGATCATGCCAAGGCAGAGACTTAATAGGCACAAGAGACCCTGGCCAAGAGAGAGCAGATGAGAGTGGCTCAGATCTTCCAAGGAACAAGGTGTAACCTGAAGGGACTCTGGCCAGATCCGCATGGCTTTCTAGGGCCTTACCCTTCTCCCAGATTCCCTTTGCCTTGCTAAAAATCATTAGATTACATTCCTAGAGCTAGCCCCCAAGGTCTATTCCCTTATTTGGCCAATCCTTCCTACTGAGCCTGACTACCAAAAGTCTAGCTATCAAAGTATTAAAATCCAGTGATTAAAAGTCCCCTTGGCTCACCTAATTACCATGTCCAATTAAAATTAAACACCTCATCCTAACACAAGGCTTCCTATTTTACCTTTATAAGCCGCCAATTGGCCATGACTGTCTCCTTACTATCCAGAGACAGTCCTTTGTCCTCAAGGGCAAATAACCCTCCATCTTCTCTCTTGGTCCTTTCCCACTTCAACCTCATCCTCAATCTCCTGTCTTTGTTTCTTATTCCCTACCATTTGTCCCTGTGGGGCAAATAAATCTCCTTTGTGCAGAGAACTTGGTCTTGGGGATCCTAAGGTTTTCCTTTCTTAACCTTTAACCTACATAAATATTACGCTAACCACCCAAAACACTATAATCAAACACAGAATCCTCATTGGTCAGTTCCTTCTCCAGAGTATGAGCAAAGCATTCTAGAACAGCATCCCAGGTCTCCTAATAAATGATATAAATTTAACAAACACCCAAGTACACTGTGGACAGTGGAGGCCAGTTTTTACCCCTCCTAGAAAAGAAAGGCCAGAGGAGGCCTGAGGCATGACATATCTGAAGAATGAATGGAAACTCTGGGCTTTTCAGGGTGTGTTACCCACATGCATACACATGTGTAGCTTCCTACCTCTGTTAGCTAACAGGCCAAGGAACAGGGCACACTAGTAGCTAATGTATACTCAGCACCTACAACCGGCTTGTTAAGCTCATTTTCCACTTAGACATCTCAGGAGAACCACTGACTACAGAGCTAAGGCAGGGGGATGGATGTTAAGACTAAATGTAATCAGGAAATGTCAGTGATGTGTCAAAAGCCAAGAGGCACCATCTGCATAGTCCCCCATGACCACTTCTGAGGCCAACTAAGCATCAACTGATTGGAGCCTAGACACACACTGGCATCTGAGAACCACACAAACCATGGAGACTTGCTTCAATACCTTGGTGTACAGACCAGTGGTCAGGCTAGAAGAAACTGCCTTGGGAACCTGTAGCTGGGAGACAATGGGGGATAAACAGCCTAGTGGGGTAGGCCCAGCTGAGTTATTGAGGGGTCACAGCTATCATATCATAGTAAAGGGTAGCTGGATAGCAAGCATTCTTGACCCTATATATCAATGGGGTGTTCCCACCGCGCCTCTATCCAGACTGTAGGGCCCACAGACACAAGCTTGCAGTTCCTGCTGCCCAGCTGCCCAGCAAGCAGAGGCACACAGGGAAATTCCAGAATGAAGCAAGGCACCAGGCTTTCTGTGGCGACATCACAACGCTATATGATCTGGAGAAACTCAAATAAGATCGTTGTTGTGTGAACATTAATTCTTTCACCTGCTAAATGCTGAAGAGATTCTGAAAGAAAGTGTTTTTGGTTTTTTTTTTGTTTTTTTTTTTTTTTTTTGAGGTGGTAATGCCCTAAAAGAGCCTCACAGCCTCTGCAAGTGTGTGAGAGGCAGATGAGATTCAGGAAAAGGGAGAGAGAAAGAATATTTCATCATGGGAAAAAAGTCACATGCAGAGAGCTGAAGCCAAGCATAGGAGAGACTTCTTTGAATTCTTACAATTTTCTGATGTCTGGAAATAAGTTAATATCCGGTATAAAGAAGCCAGGTGTAGTAGCACACACCTTTAATCCCAGAAATTTCGAGGTAGAGGCAGATAAGAGTTCTGTGAGTTGCTATCCAACCTGGTCTACACAGCAAGTTGCAAGCCAGCCAGGGCTACACAGTGAGAACCTGTTTTGGAAACAAACAACAAAAAAGCAAATATAAATGCAACCCACTCTGGTATCACCAGCTCTGGGGACACAGAAGACCAGGGTGTGACTCAGAGCCCAAAAACCCTCCAGAGAGTCAGGAGACAGGGTTTCAGATTCTCCCTCAGATGCTCAGAAAGAGCCAACTCAAGCTCATGACCTTGAACAAAAAGTCTTTGCTGCTCACCTCCAGCTTAGCTCAAGTTACCAGTCTCCAGGGAGGAGGGCTACATGGAAAGACACAGAAGGGCAAAAGCT